TTCCTTGGTTAAATGTAATATATCACATAGTCTCTCAGATATAAAATTGGATTGACTACCACTATCTAATAAAACTCGACAACTATGTAATTTTCCGTTAGAGTCATATATATTAACATTAGCTGTTGATAGCAAAGCAACATTTGTCGATAAATTATTAATTGTAAGCGTTGTTGAAGTTGAAGGTGAAACTAAAGGTGTGTTTGAGTTGGATGGTGTATCTATTCCTGTACTAACTTTATCATGAGTTCTAGGATTTTCATTGAAATGTAATAAAGTATGATGAATTTTACCACACTTTTTGCAACCAGACGATTTACAGTCTTTTGTTACATGATTAGAACCAAGACAATTTATACAGAATTTCTTTTTCTTTATATCACTAAATCTTTCAGTGGGAGAAAGACTTAGGAAAAAAGTACAGTTATAAATTGTATGATCACCTTTACACATCGAACATTTATTTTCTGTTGTTAAAAATGTTTTAAAATCGCGTTTAAGAGGTGGTTCATTTTTATAATTCTTCTGTGATTTTGATATGTAATTTGTTTCAATAGTTTCTAATATACGGCATTTTTCTTTTAAAAAATCTATAAGTTCGTTATAAGTTGGTAGTTCAGTGTTAAAAATTGTAGATTCCCAAGAACGTCTTGTAGCATTATCAAGTTTGGAAGTTATTATATGTATAATAAGTGCGTCCCAATGTTCTGTAGGAAGTTTCAAAACCTTTAAGGCGTTTATATGTTTCTGAACACCGTCTAGTAGCATTCTTAAACCTTGATGTGATTCTTTAGTGAGAGATGGTAAATTAAAAATTGATTTAATGTGATTATTAACAAGTAAAGGTTTATTTTCAAATCTGTCTTGCAGAATATTCCAAGCAATTTGATAATTATCGTCACAAGCTTCTAGAGATGAAATAGTTTCGTTTGCTATGCCTCTTAGAGAAAGACGTAGATAGTGAAATTTCTGTGTAGATGTTAGTGAATTATTATTATGAATGAGTGATCGAAAAGTGTCTCTGAAATAAAGCCATTGATCATGGGCACCATCGAATGTGGGTAAATTAATTTGTGGGAGTTTTATCGATGCAAAAGTCATATTATTATCAGTGCCTGTTTGTTGTACATTTTGAGAGTTCAACTCTGCATTTTGTTTTGTAATAATATTGTCTAAATATTTTTTGGCTTCAGATGTAATACGGTAAAACTGATTTTCAAAATTTTCACGTTGTTCTGAATGTGAATCGAAATTTTTGTCAAATTCAGGGTCTAAGTTTTCAATGCTCATTTGAACGTCATTAAAATCATCTAAAAATGTAGTAGCCTTAAGTAATCTGTTTTTTAATTGTTCTACTTCTTCAAAAGGAAGGTTTTCCAAAGACTTTTTTAAGTTAAAGTAATTTTCAAATCGTGTGAGAGCTGCTTTAATGACCCGTCTTTTGTTTTTAAGTTCATCAGTCATTTTAACGTATTTAAAATTTAAATAGTTATGTTAAAGATGTAATAAGTAAATGTTTGTTTAAATCCCTCAATTAAAATAATTAAAATAAGTACAAGAAACGTGTTAAGTGGCTTAAATCGGTTAATTACAGCATAGGTAAAGTAATTCAATATAAATCGATAAAAATCGAATAAAGTGAGCAAATAATGGTTGTAAAGTAGGTAAAGTAAAAGGAAAAAAAAGGATGCACACTAACCTGTAGCGATAGCAAACTTCTTGTGGTAACAATCGTTGAATAAAAACCATTAAATTGCGTTGTCAATTGTAGTTGCTGTTTTTCCAAATTCTTCGCCAAATATCGGGTTCGAAGGACCAAAAAACTTATGTATAAGCGTCAATATTATTAGAATTTCACGTTAAGTAAAATGATAATGTCTTTCAAAGGTCAAAAGATGTTCTTCTTATGCGTCCTCCCCTCTTGGACTCTCTTGGATCAGTCCATTTTCTAACTGCACCTTACAGGGTTGCCGTAGTTAACCCAACAGGCTCCGACAGGGTTGCTGTATGTCCCCAACACTATTTAAAATTTATATTGCCAATAAGTTGTCATCCTATAATTTTGCCATATGAAATTGTGTAGTCTTAACATTAGGCCTCAACAAATTTTGCCTCATTCGAACCAGTTGTATATTACAAAAATACATTTCGGGGACACTAAACGTAGGTACTATAACGTAGTAGTGTAGACATCACAACAAATTAGATTTCACCATGATAAAATCATAGGTTTACAACTTAAGGTATGTTGACATTTGACTGGTTTTGCATTGTTACCGGTCCAGTTTTAATAAAATAGAATAATAAAATTTTTGATTATTGTGCTGTTAAAATGTACGGATAAGCCTTTTATTATTGTTTCATACACACTAGACCGTTCAGATTTACTAATATTGCATTGATTGTAGCTGTAAATAAAAATGTATGTTTAATACCAATAAATAATCCGTTAGTTGATGAAAGAAGTATCGTGTTTATCGACAAAATTAATTGTAGGCTTTTAAATTTTGCTTAATATGGTCATATTTTACAATATTCAACTCATAATTGTTGATACTTCTGGTGGATGATGTTCAATTTATACATACATAAATTATAAACAAACCAAATTGAAGTACTAGAAACAATAAGGTGAGATAGTAATTTTTACGAAATCCCTGTATTATTACTTCTTTATTTATAGAGTATCTGTTCCTGTGTATGCCCAAGTTTCTGTTTTCTAAGAAGCATATTAATTAAATAACAAAACTGTGTCCAAGAAATAATCTATTGCAAAGAGGATTTAATGAAAACAAAATTGGTGATGCTGTAATCAAAAAGTTCCATGCAGGAATCAATGGTTATTGCTAAAATATGTTATTGGTGTATTGTCAATTTTATTTACTTATATATTACGTTATTTAATCTCAATAATTTTAGGCTGGTAAGTCATTTATTTACATACCTAGCTTTTAACGTAACTACTGGTAGATTGCAGGAAATAATATACACTTTGGAACAATTGAAGTAAATAAATGAATTAATATAATACAAACATCAAGAAGTAATGTATAATTTTGGAAAAAGCTGTATTAATCACTTTCGAAAATCATAATTGTTTTTTTTTAGTAAGTCGCAGAACTTAGACAAATAATTTAGGTTTGTTATTAAATTAAATGTAATAAGTACAGATTTAGACTCTTGAACCAGGCATGGTATATTGATTAGTAGGGTCCACAGTAAAAAATATTTTGTAATACCATTCGAAAGAAAATACAGACCTATATTATACTGTTTATAAAGTGAGTTTTATTGTAACATAACTTAAGAAAACAATTAATATGCATATGTCAATCATAAGAATAGAGTCTATTAATTTAATGAACTATACCCATAGTACTCGGCAAACAGTAAACCAAACCAAAGAAACTAAGACTTACAGTGTTAGATCATGTAGTATATAAGTATTTTAATTTTATCATTTAATAAATAAATACAATATAAAATTTAAAATGCCAATTTTTTTTTATTTTAAAACAAGTGATTTATATATGTATAAACAATTTACAATTCTTTATCATTTAATTTATTGCCCACATCTTCCGGGATTATAAGGCTAATATTTTGCTGCTTATAGTGCCTATATCTCAAAAAAAATTAATTAGATTAATTAATGATTAAGTATCCCTGTATTTTTAAATGTTGAATCTTATGGACTGAAAAAACTGCTGTTGAAGATGCAGAAACCTAGAAGAAATTCAAAAACAAATTGTACAAACATAACGTATGCCTATACATTTCGGTAAGTCAATATCGACAAAGCTTTGATTACAGCATCACCTATTTGGTTTTCTTTAAATCCTCTATACAATAGACTATTTCTTTGACATAGTTTTGTTTCATTTAATTTGTTTCTTAGAGGTTATACACAGGGGTAGATATTCTATAAGTAAAAAAGTAATGTATAAGTAATAATACAGATTCTTAAAAATATCTCACCTTACCGTTTCTAGTATTTCAATTTAGTGTGTTTATATTTTATACATGTATAAAATTGAACATCATCCACCAGAAGTATCAACAATTATGAGTTGAATATTACAAAATATGACCATATTAAGCAAAATTTAAAGGCCTACAATTAACTTTATTGATAAACACGATACTTCTTCCATGAACTAACGGGTTATTACTAGTAATTGAACACACATATTGATTGGTTTACAGCTACAGTATTAGTAAATCTGAAGGGTCTAGTCTGTATTAGACAATTACAAAAGGATAATCCATACATTTTAACAGTAGAATAATCCAATTTTTGTTAACTCTAGACGTTATCGAAATGCCTGGGACTGGGACGGGCGATAGTTAGGTTAGAGCCTTTTTGATTTTTCTCTTCTTTACTTTTAAAGACGCATTCTGTATTAATTAGGATTTACTGGATTTACCTAATATAGATTTTTTTATTAATTAGAACTGGTATAGTTCAAATTATCAGAAAAAAATATTTTTTGGATATAAATTTCTGTATCCGAAAACTTACTATTATCTTCTAGATTTTCTACATTTAGTATTAATTTTAATTATAATTTAACTTTTTTGAAGATCTTTAAAGTGAAAAGAAGAAGAATTTTAATTAACTAAAAAAATCAAAATAAAGTTAATTAACTTTGAGCAGAGTTCGACCTCGTCAAAAATAGCATCGATAGTCATTCCCCAGCCGCCTTTGACGCCGTTTTTTCTCGATCATACGGTACTTTCTACATAGGTCCGGAAAATTTAGTTTAGCTATTTATTGACATATAACACTAAAACATGGTTTAAAATGTTGCGTAGTCTGGTCGTTTTTTCTGGTTTGTAGCATTCCTTTAAATTAGTTTTTATCCGTTTTATAAATTGATCATATTGGACGTGTCCAATGTTTATGTGAAGCTGAGTGTGAAGCGGAGAAGGCATTTAGAGAAGGCATAAACACCTTTAATTCAACTGATTTTTTAAGAAATACATATTTCCATCTTTACCTGGATTATAGAAATTATTATAATAAGTATAATGCGGAACATATCCTCGAACTCCAGCTGTATATTTTATGCCATAATTTCTTGTTCCATATTGGCCTGTAACTTCATTTCTAACATCTCCTTGTTGTTTGGCATATATTCCATTTTCAGTTCCATATTCATATTTGTATTCGCCATTTTTATCTAAGAAGTAACTTTGATATGCTGCACATGCTTGATTCCGAAATACTATCTCGTAGGCGACGAACAGCTAAAACAAAATTGTTTTCAATTACGATTTTTTTTGTGTCATGAAAATAATTATAGTTGCTTTTTGTTAGATTCGCGTTGTTTCAGGTTCAAAACCAAATCATTTCCTGGACAGTTTTGAAATTCCGGGCGGACCACCTCGGACGCCTTAAAAACCCGTACATGTGACAAGTAAATCGGGACGTATGCAAACCCTAATTATAAAGTCAACGATTATACCGTATCACAGTGATAGAAAATGGATTTGTGAAGTTCCAAAATTCAAATTTCTTGTTGACTTAAATCTTTTACAAAATGATATATTACCCTTCAAAGAAAGCTAATAAACAGTGCTACACAAATCCCAGTTGCCCTGGCTAAGAAACAATTGCTCCACGTTGATCGAAAGTCGAAGCAGTTAATACGCCGTTTCGAGAAATTCTGATCTCTGTTTCGACTGCAGTCTTAATCGTTTCGTTAAATTAATGTTTGTGTGTTTTGATTTTTCTCAAATACATGCTGCATATTTCTGGAGATATGTAATTTGTGTTTTACGTAAAATTATAATGTTTAGTATGAAAGATATTTTAGGACGCTCAATTAAAGTGTACATTGTAAATTAAAGAATAATGCGAAAACGTTGTTGCATAACAAGGTAGAACTTTTTTGTGCCTTGTTACGACTTCCAAATACTAACATCATTTTGTTCTCTACATTTTTTCCTTCTAAAGAAAAACAGAAACTTTTGCCACCAGGCGCCCCTTCTCATTTAATATACAGTCCACCATAATGTTGGCTACATATGGGAAAAATTTTTATTTATAGGATTTCCGAAAATTTTGTTTGGTGGATCGCTCCTGCATGTTTAATAATCTAAAAAGTCATTATGACATCAGTCACGTGATCACTATCATGGCGGCAAATTAAAAAAAAACCGCTATGAAAACGCGAAAAGTGGGGTTAGATGGCAAAATATGGAAAAAAAAATTCACAGATTTTGCAACATGCGCAACCATCATAGTCGTATTGAAAATACCAGATACAAGTCGGCGGTTGTCGGCAATCACCTGTTTTTTTACATTTTATATTAATTTGTGACGTCATTTGGAAGAGCTCAATAGAAATATAAAGAACTAAACCTTGTTTGGAAAGCAATTTGACATTCGTGACGTCACCACTCCGGCAGTCTGGTGCGTCCAGACCTGACGAGCCGAGCGCGAGACGAAAGCAAGACAAGAGCGAGACGAGAGCGAGACATTTTCTATCCATTTTTTACGCCAACCTGCCACGAGACAAGCCGAGTGGGATCATAGTGAAAGAAAGCCAAACACATTAAATTGCAATTGAATATAACAAACGATGGTCAAATAATAACGCATACAGTAATAAATTTTTGTATCTTTAATATGATATTCGGTCTTTAACATGGTATTCATCGTCGGTTTTCCCCCTGTTGGCTGTTTTCCCTTTATTCCTTACACGACGTTTTTTTTTTACATAATACGTTTTTAACGTTTTTGGAACAAATTGTTAAATAAAAAGTTATTGATAAGGTTAAGAAGCACATTTTAACATTACTATAGAGTATACAGGGTAATTCAAAACAGTGTTGCGGATATAACATATTTTCTAATGGGAATACCCTATTTTTTATTTTATTATTGGACTATACATACGTACAATTCGGTAACTTTTCTTGCCATTTTTGATGTTATATATCTAAAATTAATAGATGTTGTAATAATTCAATTTGTTTAAAGAAATGTTGATTTCGGTAGGGTAAAAATTATCAGTGACATAAAATTTGTAAATTCTATCAGAAAAATGATAATACATACGGTGTACGATTTAAAATTTGAGATTACTTAATTTTAAATGGTCGAAATTTATAAATCAGAGCTAATATCTCGCAGTCGGACGGGCCTACCAAAACACGTCCAGACTTTCGAGCTTTCTTTGATCGGCCGTTGGAAAACCGACAGGGGACGGATAGCAACGAGGCTCCGTGGGTTGACCCGCGACGCTTTCGCGAGACTCGTCCACACAGCGAATTTGGAATGTCTCGCGCTCGTCTCCCCAGGTTTAGACGCACCATCGTATCGCTGATCGCCATTCGCAAATATATTCCAGATACGTATGGTGAACAAGTGAACAGTTCGCAACGTTAAATAATTTTGATATTTAATTTTTATCGTGATGGCCTTTTATGAAAGTGTATACATAGAATTAATTGCATTAATTTGCAATAGCACTTCGAACCCATAGTTTTGTTATGGAGCCAGATTAAACCAATCAGAATGAGTATTATGTTACCGTAAAAGCCCGAATATTGGTTAAACGTAGAGTTGCCCACGTAGGAGCCCGAAATATACCAAAAAGTGGGTCACTTTCGGTTAACTCGCCGTACAACAAAATTTCACCAATTTTCTCAATAAAAATTAAAAGTTATAAATCATACTATTTTTTATAGATTAGGTCTATATTTTCATTAATTCAGAACCAACTAAAACCTAATTCTACTCTAACCTAAACTCACCCCTTCTTTTGCATGTTTCCGGCTATTACTTGGATATTCCTAGGTTTAACTAATATTCGAACTTACGGTGTAAATTTATGGAGGGCCCATAAATTTAAACTCGCCGTACAACAAAATTTCACCAATTTTCTCAATAAAAATTAAAAGTTATAAATCATACTATTTTTTATAGAAATGATGGAATAAGGATGAACGGGGTGCCAGACCAAGAAGATACTTGGAATGTAAGTGTTAATTTATACTCGAATTGAGTTGCCTCACAGTATAGGCATATTTTGAACCCTTACCGTGCATAGTTACTGTAGATAAAAATAAATTAAAATATAGTTGGCTCCAACGATAATTTAGTTTGCAGCTTTTCATCATACCTAATAAAAAAAATATTTTCCATTATAAAAAAACCGTGACAACCACTACTTATAGTATGTACCTACATATGTATTTTTAAACATCATGAAGAGATTTAAGTATAAAAAGGTGCCCATAATGTGAGTAGCGGTATTGACGGTTTTTTGTTATGAGGAAAATAAGCAGCAAAATATATTATCGACTGCAGCAACTATGTCTTCCGAGTTTACATTCAGTATGTTCAATTAATATGGAATATTATACCTATACATGCTTTTAAACATTTTCTACCATTATATTTTGATAGTTGAGTTTTTGAAATTATTTGTTAGCTTCTTAAACAAAACATACCCATAATAATTCAAATCTTTATCATCCAAGAATCTTCAAGACTTTCAAGAATTATGAAGTAATCTCACGTCAAATTTTTTTAAAATTATTGCATGCCTTAAGTATTTGCAAAGTTAACAAAAATATTTTTTGCATACCTTGCAATTAATATATTTGGTCTAATTTATCAGTTCTGCATCATATCCGAAATTCAGATTGTGTGTGACACAACGAAGAGTGAACGTGCAAAGAAAAATGGCAAGTAAAAAAAATGTAAAGTTTTAATTACTAATTACACAGTCCTTCCCTTGAGTTCTTCTGCCTAAAATCTATATTGCCTTCCCTAAGATTTTAAATATAAATGATTGAAACTCATTTACCACAGTTTAAACTTAAGATAATTATTTAATTATTAAATCCATAATTATATTAAAAATGACACTTACGAAGTTAATAAATATTAACTATTTCTAGTTAATCATTTAATAATTATTCTGATAAAAACACGCTGGACTTTTTTATTTCAGAAATCATACAGGCTATAATCATTAATATGACTATATGTATTAACAGTACTTAAATTAAAATTTATTTGAAGGAATGCTACTTGAAGTATTAACTGAATAATTATTAAAAACTGCTCATCGCGTTATCGATGTCGGCGTCTTGTGACTGTTATTGGCTGATTGGCCGTTTAGGTACCTATAGTTTGATTTCAGATAATGCAGATTTTAATGTGCCATTTGTGGTTTTTTTATTGGATTTTTTTTACATATTTGGTATACTCTATGAAGTGCTCATGTCCATTTTTCAATTATTAAAGTGCCTATTTAGATACATTTAAAATTAATTAATTAATGTATAGTAATTGAATTATGGGTTTGTTTATTTTTTATGAAATGTATTTTTTTCTATTAAAATAAACATAGCTTTACTTACAACATCCGTAGCTAGCCATTTTTAAATACAGCTGTTAATTAAGTATCTGGCCAACTTCAGAAGGTGATTTTTTGTGTTTTTAAGGTAAAAAGTTAATATAAACATGTGTCCGGAAATGCGTAATTTTAAAGATACAGGGTGTCAGGTCCTAATAGACATTTCTTTATTAATATCTCAAAGATCCGTTGGCCGATTTTGTTGAAATTTCGCCGTGTTGTGAATTTTGATAAGTTAGCACTAATTAAATGATAATAATTATTATTTACAACAATATTCAAAAACGTATCAATTTATCCCAATAAATATTTGACAACGCTTTGGATTCATTTGTTTTAACGCCTGTTGGCGGTGGAAACCATGCAAGCTTTTTCTTTGTCCTAAGTTGTTAATTAGAAAAATAATAATCATATAAAAAAATATGGTAATTAGTCTAAATTTATTATTTATGTGATTCTGCTCTTTCTCGTATAATTTGCTCCTTGTTTGTCATAGGGAAATAGTTCGATTAAAATAGCCAAACTGTACCTAACAACCCATGCCTTGACATATTTTCTTTTAAAATAATATCGCTTTCTTTATCCGCCGGTCCAGACTCGACCTTGCCCTATTCGCTCATCAACGCCAGCTCTATCAATTTAAGTACGTGTTGACAGGCAGGTTATTGAACCCATGTTGCTTCTAGCATGTCGTTTTTTCAAAGATGGGTCCCATATAAACGCGGCCAGAAGTATTTTCAATACTAAAATATTTGAAAAAAATGTTTAGAATGATATTTTAAGGCTAACCTGCAAAATTTGGAGCGGAAATAAGAAAAAGTAGAAAAAGGCGTATTTTGAGTCCTGGCTCTTCTATAAAATATTTTTATACGG